GGAGAACGGTCAGCTGTGAAATAACAGCCACCAAAGAAAAGAAAGGCGTTGAATCGCGTGCCCTCCCCTTCCCCAGAAGCAGCCGGCTGTGTTTTTAAATGTGTTTACTGTCCCAGTTGTAAAGAATTAAATTTTAACACCTGCGACTAAGCTGGGTGTAAAGTAGCGTGGAGGCGGAGGAAAGGGGTTTCTCTCTCCCTACCTGCGCCTGCCTCTCTGCTCCAGAATTCCCTGAAATTCCCTGAAATTGACAGCGCTGAGTAGAGAATGTTTGGAGTGCTGGGGCAAGGAGGGGGTTTATTTCCCCTCTGCCTTGCGGGACGAGCCTAATAAAGCCCACGGCTGGGTTTAATATTGGACGTGGGGGGATGGAGGGAGCTCCGTGTTGAATAAGGTGGTTGAACCGAGCTTGGCTCCCAAAAGCTGCTGGCTTTGGCTCGGTGTATCGCCTGGCTCGCACCGGCAGCATGAGCCCCTCAGTGGCAAAAGGCGATTTTCAAGCCATTCCTAAATTGGCTAATTCATCTCCTTTGCGTTTAGGTAGGTGGCTGTTTGCAGCACCGGCGCTCAAGCGCTAGCAGGGATGGTGGTGGGGCTGGGGGGGCTCAAAGGTCTGTGTCCCCCCCACTTTCATCCCCCCACCTCAGTCACACACATGCCAGCCAGCGCGAATTTGGAAAGTTTTTTCCTTGTGGTGACATCTTAACCTCACCCTCCCCTCTTTTCTTCTTCTCTCTCCAGGAAACATGCTTTAAACTGCCACAGGATGAAGCCAGCCCTTTTTAATGTCTTGTGTGAAATCAAAGAAAAAACAGGTAGGAAATCAACGCTGTTGGTTCTGTGTTATTTTTCTTTTTGCTCTTTGAGGGTTTTGTTCCACTAAGTTTGTGCCCCCTCTCCGTGCCCCCCCACCCCCATCATGTAGCAGTATTTAAGTGGGGAGAAATAACTAGCCGGTATTTAATGCTTCTGGCAGTGGAGTCGCATGATGCGGTTTGTGTCTGGAAGGGAAAATAGTGTGGTTTAATTTCTATTGTATAGAGTCTTTTTATTTATTGCTTTTTCTAGGGAGAAGAAAAAAATCAAAACCCTTGCGATTTCTCTCTTGCTCTAGTTTCTTCTTTAAGACATAGCGCTGTTTATTAAAAAAAGATAAATAAAATCTGAGTACAGAATAGGGGGGAAAAAACCCAACAAAATGAAATTGTGCAGCTTTGCTACTGTTACTATTCAGGTAAACTTAAAGGTTTCTTTTTTTTTTTTTTTTTAAAGAAAGGGTTAAAATGCTCTTGTCTGCCAATCATCTAGGCTAGCTCATGTAAGAGCGAGTTGTCAGTTGCCTTTAGTGAAAGCAATATATTAGATTGTTAGTTACTTTAGGGTACTGTTGTTTTATGGCATGGGGTGTTCTCAGGCTTCTAAAGAAGCTAATGGCATGAGAGCGTTGGTTCTGCCGTTTCCCACTTTCCAGACCTCCTACCATGTACTAACACACTTATAACACATCCCAGGGGGGCATTTAAATTTTAAAAGCAACAATTAAAAAATAGCAGTCATCAATCAAGGGTGATCTTAAACAACAGATGCTCAGGGAAGGACATTTAGCAACATGCACCACTTATTTATTTATTTGTTGGAATCTATCTTGTTTTTATTTTTTTGATTTAAAAAGAAAAATAATGGGAGGAGTGATGGAAATTTGGCGGGGGAGGGGGGGGGTTCATCTCTGCTGTTGGCTTTCTGAGCTGACTGGAGTTGATCAGCGGGCTTTTCCGTGCCGATCTAGCTGCCTTGTTTTAGCAGGCTGCAAAGTACTTGACTTCTCTTCCCCCCCCCCCCCTTCCCCTTTTACAACGAGGACTGTAACAGTCAATAATTCATATCTAAACCATATAAGCAAGGGCATGACATGAATGAAAGTGACAATAAATATGATTGCACACCCAGTTGATATACATTGATAGTTACACATAAAAAGGGAACAGCTTTCAGAAACCTGAATCTGGCACACTTTTTTTTTTCCTTTCTTAAATATATATATAAAACCTTCTAGCGTGAGCAACTGATTGCAAATACAATTACTTGACTCTTGCAATATATATAAAATGACTAAGAGGGCCCTTTGTTAAACGTTGTTTGTGCAGCGTGTAGCCCAGACAAAGCACCTACCGATGGCATTCGGCTCTCTGAAGTCCTCACGGCTGCGTGGCCGGGTCTGACCTTCCCGAGGAGTCCTTCCTTATGGAGTTTCCATAATATCAAGCAGTGGGTTTGGTATGGGAACCTCTGTAGGGTTCATACGATGTAACGTGAGGTAGTCTGCCTAGAGATAAATTTTATGGATGGTTTTATAGTCTTTCCCTGGGTGCCACCCCAGAAAAAGGAGCCACCAAGTTCCTTTTCCTCTTCCCTCTTTCCTCTTTTATTTTGTGTGAGCCAAACAAAATGTTTGTCTGCCTTTTATCCCCGTGTATTTGATGCTGCATACGTTGTCTGTGCGGAGGTACTTTTTGGCAGGGTAACGGATTAATCCCAGCTCAACTTTGCTATCGGTGCAGTCCCAAAGTTAGGATTTGCTAGGACCAAACCTGGTGGGAAATCCAGGTGATTTCAGGGATGCTGTGGGGTCCCAGCGAGCTGTACATATCCATGGAGCCTGGGTGTGAAAATTCCTCTCTGCTAAGTAAAATCGAGTGAGATGGTATAGGGCGAATCTTGATACTGGTAATAAAAGGTATTCAGGTGTGAACTGTGTCTGTCTTAGAATTATTTTTTTTTTTTCAATTTTATTTGTTGCTTTTGTGCCTGTGTTACGTGGCTACGGGGCCGCTGTGCAGAGCTGTCTGAAGAGGTTGAATCGAGGTGGCTTTTGGAGCGTTGTTTGTCTGCCCTCGGATAGGTTTACGGTGAATTATTTTACTTTGCAAATCCAAAGACCTCCTCCCCTCTCCTCCATCTGCGTCCCCCAAAGTCACACTTTGTAAGGAAGCAAACGACCAGATGGTTTTGTTTTAAATTTATTTTTTTTTTTTTTTTTTTTTTTTTAAATTACTGCTTTGTGAGCCCGGTGCTAGGGGGAAGTTAGCCTTGTGTTTTCTGGGGCCGAGGGTACCGCCTGCTTCTGTTTGCCTACTTACTCCTTCCTTGCGGGCAGCAGCACTGAAAGTTTAGCCAACTTCTCTCTTCTTCCCACTTTCCATTTTGCTTCCCAGATTTTTGCATGTGTTGCGTTTGAAATCCTGGTGATTGTTTGTGGTCACTGGTGGGTGTTTGAAAGTGTGTGCGTACATCTTCCCCCCGGCGTTATGATGTGCAGAAATGTGCGTTCAGTTACCCCGCTGCCTGATTTAAGTGACTCCAGAGCCTTACGGAGACTTTACCACCGTCTCTCGCAACATTATGGCTAATATTTCATAGTGTTAACGTTGTCTTGAGCAAACCCAAAGTGTCCATAAAGTTCTTAGAAAAAGAGGTCGTCTGTATTGGCCAAAGAGTTCCCTTTTGCACTTGGGCTCTTCAGTTGTTTTGAAGCGTTTATAAACACTTTTAAAAAAGACAATAATAAAAAAAAGGCTCGGTGGGTTTTCTTTTGTCTGCAACCTGGAGATTGTCGCTTTTGGGGTGATTTCTGTTTAAAAGTAACAAAAGAGAGGTTTGAGCCGAGCGGGAGCACGTAGGGGGAAAAAAATTGCCGCTTAAATATACGTATAAGTTGTCGGCGTTCATTCGGTGTGTTTTCACTTGCTGTTGGTCGCTTTGTTGCGAGGGAAGGGGCAGGACTGCCTTCAAATGGCTGGCTGGCTTTTTGGAATAATAATTATGGAAATGGGAGGCATTGTTGTCCTAAATACAATTGATTCCTCCGTCAATAGGGATTGAAATCGGAAATTGCATTGCTGATTTATAAAAAGTTTGAAGGCAGGGCTAGGGGCTCTGTCTTTATGGCTTTTTTTTTTTTTTTCCCCCTTGTTTTTTTTCTCTCGGTATGTTTTTTTTTTTTAAGCTGTTCTCTGCATGAGCAGAATAACTAAGCAGAGGAATCAGGCAAGGCATACGCAGACGTGGGGTCCTTGGATGGCAAACTGGAAAATATCTGCTGTCAAAATGCAGCAGCATCTATTTCAGCTGTGAGCCTTTCCCAACTCCCATCTCGTTCAGCGGGGACCGGTGGGGAGAGGCTGAGCACAGGATATATGACCGTTTAATCTGATTCCTCCTCCTTAAGAGCTTTTCCCATCGTTTCACTTTCTTCGCTCTTTTGGGGGAGGTGAGGACATCGGGCAAATTCTACTTCTTAAAAAGACCCTGACTTTGTATTTGAAATCCCCTGGTTTTTATTTTCTTACCCCCCTCACCCTTCTGCGTTGAAGGAATTCAGGTTTAAAAGAAAAACGTACATATCACCAACGGGGGGAATTTACGAAGTGGAATATTTATAGACAGCACTGATTAGCTGTGCAATTGTTGTTGAATAATGGGTTTGTTTTTTTTTTTTTTTTAATTTTAGAACATAATAGCTATAGACAGTGCCTCTTAGCTACCTTTCCCTGTGCATTATCTTCATCAAACTTAACTCAGATCAGATCTTTGGAGGAGGTAGGATTTTTTCCCCCTTCTTTTCTTCCTTAACACCCCTTTGTTCTCTCCAGCTCTGTGTTCAATTAACACCCCCATCGCAGAACTGTAGTCTTTTTTTTTTTTTTTTTTTTTCCCCCTGTATTTCACTTCTGACACCTCTCTTATTATTCTTGCCTGCTATTTCTCTTTAATATAGCAATTACGATATGGGGTTTCTTTCTTTTCTTCCTCCCTTCCTTCTCTTCCCCCTCTCCCAACTCGAGCCCCACCGAGCGGCAGGGGGAGAAGAGGGGCAGTGGCGATGCGTGCGGTGCCGGTGGGTTTGGGGTGCAGGGCAGAGCTGTAAGTGGGGTACACTGGCAAACCCAGGGCCCCTTGGATGAAGTTTTTTGCGGGGAAGGATGGGGCAGCTTGCTTTCCTTCCCTCCTCCTGCTCACCCCAGCCCTTTGCTGTGGTTTCAAACCCTGCCCTCCTCCTTACCCTGAATTTCCACCAAGGTTTCCCGAGGCGCAGGGGAGAGTTAAACACCCCGATTTGAATTTCAATGCAATTCTTGCACCTAAGGCTTCATTCTGCTTCTGCACAACCTCATAATGAAAGTGCTTGGGCTCCAGCCTGGAGGACAGGTCCCTGCTCTGCTCTCGGCAGGTCCAGCCCTGGTCCGGCTGTTCTCTCTCCTGCCCTTCAAAGGGGAGGAAGCCTTTGCTTTGATACTTATTATTTTTTTTTTTTTTTCCTCCAGATGAAAGGCTTTGAAAGCAATAGTGGTGCTTTTCTCTCCCAACCAAGCGGGCTCCCTACAGGGGCAGGGTCTGTAGGAGCAGGGTCTGCCAGTTCCCTGATATGACTGCCCTGGGGGAGAAGAGAAACATTTTGGGAGAACAGGGCCTCCGGATGGCCGGCACTGCCCAAGGAAGCTCTTTGCAGCTCACAAATAAATTACTTCCAGAAACCTGATGCCTTCATGGGAAAGGAGGGAAGGGAACTTGCGAGGGGCTGGAAGATAGGGATGATTTGCGGGGAGAAGACGGCATCTGGGAGACCTTGGCTTGGTGGAGGGCTGTATTACTGCGAGAGGAGGGGCTACCTTTGGGGACTTGCTGGAAGAGGATGGAACCAGTTCACTCTGATGGGAAGGGGCATGTGTCCCAGTGCCTGGAAGGAGCAGCAGCCTTCTCCAGACCTCAGAGTCTTCAGGGTTGGAGCTGTGACACTGCAATGTGTCCTTTTTCTGGG